AGTGGCCGGGAGCGGCCACTGCACTCCAGTCTGGGCGACAGAGTGAGACTCCAACTCAAAAAAGAAAAAATGCTAGAAATAATCAAGCTTAATGAGGAAGGTATGTTGAAAGCCAGGGCAGGTCAGAATCTAGGCCTCTTGTGCCAAACACTTAGCCAAGTTCTTAATGCAAAGTAAAAGCTCTTAAAGGAAATTAAAAGTGCTACTCCAGTGACTACACAAATGATAAGAAAGCAAAACAGCCTCTGCTGATATGAATGAAGTTTTAGGTGTCTGAATAGATCAGACCAATCATAGCATTCCCTTAGGCTAAAGCTTAATCCAGAGCAAAGCCCTACCTCTCTTCAATTCTCTGAAGGCAGCAGAAGAAATGCTGGAAGCTAGCAGAGATTGGTCCATGAGGTTTAAGGAAAGAAGCCATCTCTATAACATAAACATGCAAGGTGAAGCAGCAAACACTAATGGAGAAGTTGCAGCAAGTTATCCAGGAGATCTAGCTAAGATTATTGGTAAAGGTGGCTACACTAAACAGATTTTCTTTTTTTTTTTTTTTTTTTGAGTCAGAGTCTCACTTTGTCGCCCAGGCTGGAGTGCAGTGGTACACTCACAGCCACTGCAGCCTTGACCTGCTGGGTTCAAGTGATCCTTCTGCTTCAGCCTTCCAACTAGCTAGAACTATAGGCGTGTGCTGTCATGCCCGGCTAATTTTTTGATTTATTGTAGAGATGAGATCTCACCATGTTGCCCAGGCTGGTCTCAAATCCCTGAGCTAGGCAATCCTCTCACTCCAACTTCCAGAGTGTTGAGATTATAGACATGAGTCACCACACCTGGTCTGGTTTTATAAAAAATTTTAAAATCTGTGTGCATGTTATATTAATTAAAATAAAAGTTAAGTTAGCCTGATAAGTAAGTTTCAGCGTTTTATTTTGATTTTACTCGGTAGAAGACATCTGTAAAACTATTATCTTTACTCACAAGGAGAGACATTATATGTAGACATCAGGAAGACATCTACTGGAATCAACCAGTCCTGAGATGGAATCCTGCCTCCACCATTTACTATCTGGATGATCATGTTATTTAATGTACTCGAGTCTCGTTTTCCTCACCTGTAAATGAAGGGAATAACACTACCAATATCAGAGGGTTGTTATGATGGTACATATGATAATACATACAAAGGTCCTGTCACAGAACCTGGGACAGAAAGGGCTCAATCAACATTGGATATTAGTACAGGCATACCTTGGAGATATTGTGGGTTTGGTTCCAGATCACTGCAATAAAGTGAATATCTGAATAAAGCTAGTCATATAAATTTTTGGTTTCCTGGCGCAGATGTTAAGTATACAATAGCATATGTCTAAAAAAACCAATGCATATACCTTAATTTAAAAACAATTTATTAGCCGGGCTTGGTGGCTCAGCCTGTAATCCCAGTGCTTTGGGAGGCTGAGGCGAGTGGATTGCCGGAGTCTGCGGGTTCGAGACCTGCCTGGGCAACTTGGAGAGACCTCATCTCTACAATAAATCAAAAATTAGCTGGGAGTGGTAGCGCGCACCTGTAGTTCTGGCTACTCGGAAGGCTGAGGTGGAAGGATCGCCGGAGGCCAGCAGTTCGAGGCTGCAGGGGCCGGGAGCGGCCACTGCACTCCAGTCTGGGTGACAGACTGAGACTTCAACTCAAAAAAAAATTTAAAAATTAAAAGAAAAAAAAACAATTTATTGCTTAAAAAAAAATGCTAACAATCTCCTGAGCTTTCAGTGAGTCATAATCATTTTGCTGCTGAGCTCAGTGGCTCAGCCTGCAATCCCGCACTTTAGGAAGCCGATGTGAGCGGATTGCCTGAGCCCGCAGGTTCGAGACCCGCCTGGGCAACTTGGTGAGACCTCATCTCTACAATAAATCAAAAATTCGGCCGGGTGTGGTAGCGCGTGCCTGTAATTCCGGCTACTCGGAAGGCTGAGCGGAGGATCGCCGGAGCCCAGCAGGTCGAGGCTGCGGTGGCAGGGAGTGGCCACTGTACTCCAGTATGGGCGACAGAGTGAGACTCCAGCTCAAAAAAAAAATAATAATTTTGCTGGTGGAGGGTCTTGCCTCTATTTTGATGTCTACTGACTATTTAGAATGGTGGTTGCTGAAGGTTGGGTGGCTGTGGCAATTTCTTAATATAAGACAGTAATGAAATTTGTCATATTGATTGACTCTTTCACAAAAGATTTCTCTGTAGCATATAATGCTGTTTGATAGAATTTTACCGACAGTAGAACTTCTTTCAAAATCGAAGTCACTCCTTCCTCTCAAATCCTGGCACTGTTTTATCAGCTAAGTTGAATTAATATCTAATTCCTTTCTAGTTATTTCAACAATGTTCACAGCATCTTCACCAGACTACTCAAGAAACTACTTTATTTACTCAACCATAAGAAAAAACTTTTCGGCCGGGCTCAGAGGCTCAGTCTGTAATCCCAGCACTTTGGGAGGCCGAGGTGAGTGGATTGCCTGAGCCCGTAGGTTCGAGACCTGCCTGGGCAACTTGGCGAGACCTTATCTCTAAATAAATCAAAAATTAGCCGGGCGTGGTAGCGCGCGCCTGTAGTTCCAGCTACTTGGAA